CTTGTTCTTCTGGAATGAAGCAGTGCGTCTCAGCTATTTTTACTTGGCAGACTAACCTACAGACTGAACCCTGCAAGGGGACTGGAGGATTTGTTCCATGCTCAAGAGAATATTCCAGAGGTCAGAAGCAGAAAGCACAAGAATGGGTCAGGGCTGAGGCTTGTTTATGATACCTCATTAAAAATCCACAGATGACAACCTTCAACGAACACCTCTCAACAATTTGAGAACAAAATGTCCACCACTAAACTTCTGTCTGGGCCACAAAGGATCCAATTCACACCTCTTACAATATGTACAGATGAGCCTATTATTTTGTTTGTTTCATCGACCGCCTTCCTCAGCAAGGACTCCCCACAGACAACATCCACAAAAGCAATAACAACCACTTGCACACAGTAATCCATGCGCATACACACAGGCACATACAGATATCTACATTTGAAAGCCGTACCTCAAACAAGTCAAAACCTTCTGCCTCGCCTCTGTCGTAGGGCCGAATGATCCCATCTTCACGAATGAGGCGAGGGGGGCGCAGGCTGGATACTTCTTCAGTAGATTCGGCCACCCTACGAGCAGAGATGGAAGGAAGGGCCTTTCTAGTGCGGGGCGTTCTGAAAGCAGGGCAGCCTGAAAGGCCTGCTGCCTCTGAGTTATTCCACAGCCCTGGGCGTTTCATCCTGGAATCTGTTTCGTTAAACAGCAGCTAGCGGAAGGCGGCATGCTGCTCTGCACAGAAAGGCCCAATCCATACCAACAGAGAAGCAGACGTTGGGCGTGCATGTCCGTGTTCTCCCTCCCACACAAGTCTGGTTCTCAGGCAGGAAAGAGCCTCTGTCTCCTTCTGAAAAATGAGGCCCAGGGAAGGAACCCACCGCGCTTACCTCTGGATCCCTTGGAATGTACTGCTTGCCATGTCAATGATGCCCCCGGTGGGACGGGCCACCACTCCGACAAGTCCTTTCCCGATCCCTTTGAAGAAGCCAGCTGCACCTTCCTTTCTGGCACCTTTCAATATCAAGAGTAAGAAAAACAGGATTGCATTTTCTGGCTGCAGACAGTGCCACGAAATTCAAAGGATTTTAATTTCAGGCCGTCTGCAAGAAGCATTGGTTTTCTATTTAAAATTTCAGTATACTTGAGAATATCAAAGTTAGTATTGTTGTCTCTTGGTTCTAACATGATACAGCACAGTCGTGTTTCACTTCACGTAACGCCTTAATATTTCAGATAATTCAAATCCGGAACATTTCAATGGAATGTGAAGCAAAGCAAGTACTAAAGTTGCTACTTAATATTTCAGATAATTCAAATCCGGAACATTTCAATGGAATGTGAAGCAAAGCAAGTACTAAAGTTGCTACTTAATATTTCAGATAATTCAAATCCGGAACATTTCAATGGAATGTGAAGCAAAGCAAGTACTAAAGTTGCTATCATTAATATGCTTCTTCACTGAATTCTGTGAGAATTAATTTAACTTTTCAATAAAATAATTTACAGGTTTACATGTTTATTCAGAAACTCTTAACGCTTCTATTGTTACTCACCAACAGAATCCTGTTAACTTACCGTCTACGGGTTTTGTGACTATCCCAGTTACTCCACCAACAACTCCCTTAAAGAAAGTGGGGGGTGGGGAGAGATGGAAGAGCAGGTTGGAATGGAAGAGTGCCACATTCATTTCTCCCACAACCCTCCCCTTCTGCACATCCTGGAGTTCAAGGCTAAAACGGGTTTAGCCTCCTCAAACGTTCATCTTAAGACAAGTCCATGTGATGGAATGGAATTATGAAGGCCAAGCTCAGGGAGATAAACATTTTCTTAGCTCAC